CTAATATTTTATAAAGCTGTTGGGTTATGGAGTTACAAAGGTGCCAGAAACACCCCACCTGCTTCTCAGGGAAATCAAACACTGCGGTCTTCACAGAATCATAGAATCATCGAATGTTTTGGGTTGGAAGGGCCCCCCAGGGGTCACCCAGCCCAACCCCCTTCCCAGGGACGGGGCCTCCACCCCCTCTCTGGGCAACCCCTGCCAGGGTTTCACCACCCTCATTGTAAAGAATTTCTTCCTTAGATCCAGTCTAAACCTACCCTGGTTTAGTTTAAAAACCATCCCCCCTTGTCCTGTCCCAGCTGGCCCTCCTAAAAAGATTTTCCCCATCTTTCCTATGGGCTCCCTTTAGGTACTGAAAGGCCGTAATCAGGTCTCCCCGCAGCCTTCTCTTCTCCAGGTTTCCCACCAGAGAGCACTCTGAGGATTCCTCCTGCTTCCTAGGAAGGCATACGAGGCCTCCATGGCTGCATGGTGTTTTGATGGAACAAGAAGCCACCCCAAAGGAGTTATATTCTCTCCATACAGCATATAAATCATTCCTAAATCCGCTTTCCATTTTCTTTTCTACTATTTCTTGAAATGATTATACCCAGCTCATGAGAAAAGCACCCCTGTTGGTACTTTTCCAAACAACCCAGGGTAAGAAGAGAAATAAACAAACAAAAGCTTACGGAGGAGTGGGGCTGCGAGACCGGGACCGGCGCCGCCTTCCTGGCGAGTACGATTTCGATCTTGATCGTGACCGTGATCGCGAGCGGCTGTGAGAAGAGCGGGACCTGCTCCGGCTTCTGGAAAGGGAGAGCACATGAGATCAGGTGCACAAGTTACCAGAGCAACACCCAGGGCTCCTCATTCAGCCCTGAGGGCTGGGGTTTCTCCACACACACACACACCCCCACCCCCCCCCCAAGTTCTCAAGAATCAGCCCATTGTACTCTACCTGGACTGAGAGCGGGAATAGGATCGTGATCGAGAGCAAGAGCGAGATCGTGACCTCGAATAGGAGCCAGATGATTTTGAAGATCGCGAATTGGACCGGGAGGATGAGCGACCTCGGCTTTTAGACCGACTGCGAGACCGAGAAGGCCCACTGCACAGATAAAAGCAGAGAAACCCCAGTGAAACTCATGGGAGAAGCACGAGAAACGCAAATATACTGCTGCACTGTATTTCTGCAGACAACCCAGTGAAAACTTGAGTGTGGCAAAAAACTATTCTCTGCGCGTTAGGCAGAAATTCCAGCAAGCTGAAAGTCTGTTATTCCATCAGCATGCTGCTGAACAGACGCTCCCTCTGCATTTAGCCCAAGGTGTTCCTAGCACCTTCCGAAGGAACCGCACGCATCAGAAGGCAGCAGACAGGATCGCTCACCTATTTCTCTTCTCCTGACCTTTCCTCCGCCTTGCTCTCATTTTAGCTCTGAAGAATTCATACAGTCCATTCTGCTCCCAGCCTTCACTGCAATAAATCAACCACACATAGAACCGACATCTGTAAAATTCTACTTTGATCAACGGAGACATTCAGGATTTCTGCTAGATTTTGTAGGGAACAAAGGGCCCGGGCAAAAAGGTCTCAACAAATCTCAGTGCAAGATCACACAGCGCGTGCAGTTTAAAATACAACAAGAGCACTCGTTACGGCATGAGAAGAACCAAGACAGAGGTGAAGGAAGAGAGAGGCACTTTGTGGTTTGAGACAGCTTCTTAGGGCATTTTCCTTACCATATTCTTAGCTATACCGGCTCTTACCTGTTTCTAGGCCTGTCATGAGATGGTGGACTGTAAAATGCCTCAACTGCAGCCAGTAGTCTCTCACTGGGGGGCATTGGGGGTGGAAGACGTATATCCTTAGGATCTAAAGGTTTATACTCATGATCTTCAAGCTGCCGGAAACAAAACAAATTACGTTCATGTCATGTGTCATGGGGTGGCTACCTGAAGAGATAAATACAGATTAAACTGTGTAGGGACCTCACATTTCACTACTGGATAAAAAACGGTCCAGAACTAAGCATTCTGCAGATGACCCAATGCTTTCTCGTGCTATCGCTACCATTTTGAGTTCTAGGAGAAAAGCCAGCACTACACACGCTGCAGCATTAACTGGATCACCAGGGAGATAAAACACAGATCTCATCCATCCACGTTTATGATAACAGTGGCTGGGTGGAAGCCTGGCCAGAGCTGCTGTATGCCAAGAGTAACACAAAGTTAGAGATGGGAGAGACATATCTGTTCATCTCAAACACAGAACGCATAAATGTATATATCCCCAACGACCCTGACACAGAATCATTTCCCCTTCTCTGTCATTCTTTGTATATGTAGCATTAATGTTGCAAAACATCTTTGTAAGAAAGAACTCTGAATACAATAAACTAGTACACAGTGGCCACCTGAGAACTGCAAGGTCCCTCTGGCCATCTGAAAAATCACTGAGGATTTCTGTTTTCTAAAGACGGGGGTAAGCTTTTCAAAAGTAAATTAGTCTTTCGCATCTATGAGCTCAACCGGCTTTCACTGGCACACAACACTTGAAAACCTCAGCATTTTCACTACCTTCTCCCCCAGCTCCTGCCCCTGAATACATTGTAAGAACTTTGGCTAATGGTTGCTGGATGGAAGGATCTGAAATTATAAATGTCCATGTTAAACTGTCCCTAATGCTGACCATGGGATTTTGATCTTTTAATCCACCTCATCAGGGCCCACTGCAAACACTTACTTTTACGAGTGGAGCCATCAGTCCAGCAGGAAGGTCAAAGTAGGGAACATTTGGCACCAGACTGGGATCATCATGATTCATGTGAGGGGGGCCCTGCCGCCGCATGTGAGGAGGCTGCCCGTTAAATCCATGCGGGGGAGGCCCGAAATCAGGGTGCTGTGGCCCTCCCCAGGGAGGATGCTCGCTGATTCCAGGATGAGGCAATCTGTGACCAGGATGATGATGAGGAGGTCCAATTTCTGCAGAGTGGGAGGGTTAAAACGTTTTATTTAGCTATAGGGAAAGGAAGGCAACCAGAAATGTACTTCAATCAGTGCAATTAAACTAAAAAACAATCTTGGCACCCAGAGCCTTGCAGATCCAGAAAAGCAACAGAACTGAAGAACTAGAGGCTGGCTACAGGTCCACTTCCCCGAGTATCTTGCAGTGCATCTCCCTCCCTGGCCATAGCAGCCGCTCTCAAGACAACAGGACGCTTTAACCCTAAGCCGCTGCTTACTCTGGGACATACTGTGGTCGGAAAGTACCACAAGAAAGATACCCTCAAGGACAAAAGGTTTCAGACACAGCAGGGCAGCTACTGGTGGGATCTATTTCTGAAGCCTAAATACACAATCGTGGCTTAGCATGGACCTGCAATTAGTTCTGCCTTTGTGCTAAATCAACGTATATGAAGAAATAAGCATGGCAGGAATTAACTCACATGAGTAGGTGACAAGAAAAGACTTTGTTTAAAAGAGGCGTTTCGAGAAGAGGTAGAGATAATATCCTGTCAAAACAGAGAAGTGAATGACACCCATCCCAATCCTCACTGCACCGTACAGAGAAAAACGCAAGACTGAAAATCATCATCTTCTGCAGCAGGACCAATGGGTTTTCCAGGAAAGCCATTACAGCCTGTTGGGGTTTAGCCACGGCTGGCAACTAAGCACCACCCAGCCGCTCCCTCCCCCCCGGTGGGATGGGGGAGAGAATTGGCAGAGCAAAAGGAAGAAAACTCATGCGTTGAGAGAAGTTTAGTAGTTGAAATAATTTTTTTAAAAAGAAGTAATTAAAAGGAAAACAGGAAAGAGAGAGAGAGAACCTCATAAGAAACAAGTGATGGAACCGCTCACCACCCACCAACCAACACCCACCAGTCCCCGAGCAGCGACCCCTCCCTCTGGCCAACTCCCCCCAGTTTATATACTGGGCATGACATCATATGGTGTGGAACACCCCTTTGGGCAGTTGGGGTCAGCTGTCCCAGCTGTGCCCCCTCCCAGCTTCTTGTGCCCCTGGCAGAGCATGGGAAGCTGAAAAGTCCTTGACCAATATAAACACTACTCAAGCAACAACTAAAACATCAGGGTGTTATCAATATTATTCTTACGCTAAATCCAAAACACGGCGCTGTGCCAGCTACTAGGAAGAAAATTAGCTCTATCCCAGCTGAAACCAGGACATAGCCACCACCATAGCCACTTCAGCCAGTACTATCTGACTCATCTTCACCAGAACTTGAACACGGTCTGAGTTGTCATTGCTTCGCTGCTTTCCTAATTTTAGCCATCTGTTTTAGTAGATCCCCTCCTCCCACAACTTTACATGAAACAATAGATGTTTTGGATCACCACTACAATCCAAAACAGAGCATCTTTTCTGAGCTTAAACCTTAATTTCCCCAGGACAAGAAAAGCTGTTCTCCCTACTCGTTACCAGAACTCTTAAAAAAATAAACAAACATACCTGGAGGAAAAAACAAAACGGAACAATCTCTACTGAAGAAGTAAATCACAATCCTAAATATAAAAGCTCTAATTCATCGATTTTCAATGTTTTTTGGACTTGGGGAACTGAGAATCTTTTAAGCTTACAATAGCAACTCCTACACAGCCACATAATTGCTCTTTTAAGTGGCTTGTCATACAGAACCACAGTGATCTTTAGACTTTACATTGATAAGGATCATTCCAGAATAATCATAACTTCTGCATGTGAAATAGAAACTACATCATGGCAGAACTACACCAGACTTCATGAGGGAGCCCACAGCCAAATCTGAGCCCCAAAGGCCAGGCCAGCAGCGCGCTGACTACACTCTCAGACATCCCCAGGTTCCAGCAGGACAGCAAACCAAACAAGAACGGAGAACTGGAGGTAAGGATCATTTCACCAGACGCTACACCAAGCCACACAACATTAAGGCAGGTAACTGGAGAGCTTTTCAGTAAAAATAAAGAGAAGAAAAGAAGGGCATGGATGAATGTATGCACAAGAACAAACGCTTCCAGCCTGGCTTCCTCTAATTTCCTCCATCGATGGAAGGCACAGCTAAAGAGCCCTCACCTATGGCCTGAAGAGCAGGGGAATGAGTTTACAAGCAAATGCTGCTTCTTACCTTTGAGCTTACTATTTTTAAAGTGATACAGTCACAAAAAGGGGTGCCTCTAGAGATGCTGACTTGAGTTGGGATTACAATTTCTGGTTATCTGCATCCGTTAGGGAAGGAAGACTAAAAAAGCCAGGAAGCATCCAACTCAGCATGTATTTCCTACTGAGTTATTAGCAGTAGCTTCCCAAACCCCCAAACTCGACATTTCTCAGGAAAACCACAACAGTCCACCAAAGATAAGCTGTCACCCCAAAGCACTAAATTTTGTAACGGCAATCAGCATCGCAACATAAGAAAACCTGGCCTGGTACACACTTTACCTTGAGGAAAATCCCCCTGGGGGTAATCAAAACGATGAGGATAAGGAGGCCTTTCAAAGGGATGGCGAGGTGGAAAATCATCCTGCATGAAGCGAGGTGGAAAGCGGTTGAAATTATGCGGATGCGGGGGCTGGTTGAATTGGGGATGTTGCTGATGTGGAGGAAATGGGCCTCTGAAGTGAGGTGGCCGCTGCATTCGAAATGGAGGTTCCCTTTGACCCCCACCCCATGGAGGTTGTTCATGCTGGTTGTTCCACGGTGCTTCAAACTGGTTGTTCCAAGAAGGATCGGGCTGGTTGTTCCAAGGTGTCTCTCGCTGATTGTTCCAGCCTTGATCTCTCTGTTCGTTCCACATTCCTTCATGGTTGTTATTCCACGGAGGACAATGAGGTGGTCCCTAGTGGAGAAGACAAGCCTGGTCATTAGGCTACAAAAATAAAGACTGCAATAAAAACAATCTACTTTTTAAAAGTAAACATAGCCCATAGGCAACATGCCCAAGTGAAAGAACTTTCCAAATACAAGGTCAGAACAACTGCAGTTTCAGAGAAAAGACAGGAAAAGACCAAACTGTTACTGAACCAAACAGCTCTGTACTTGAGACCGTACTTCCTGTTCTGCTTGTTCCCAGGGAAAGTGCAACGGTTGACACACTGAAATACAATTTATACTTTGCTTGGCATTTGAATCTGGATTTGTACCTTTCACAGCTTTTCACCACACTTCCACAACCCAGATGGTCATTCTGACCCTCCACCTCCCTCTGCATCTTGTTTCAGAACTGTGTTTCTTACCTGTTGTTGACCCCATGGTGCAACAGGGTGAGGTTGGTCAAACCAGGGTGGTTTATTGGGAGGAATCTGATCATGAGACCCAGGGCCACGTGGTCCACCAGAGGCAGGATCCTGCACTCCAGACCCTGTTGCATCATACTCTGTAGAACCAGCTAGAGGCAGCTGAGATTTACCGTCATCTGAAACAAATTGAAGACTATTTATAAGCATCCAGGTGACATGTAGTCCATAAAACACCAGCACACCTACAACAGGCTCCATCTGAATTTTGTTGGATGTGTAAACATTCTGCAGAAATCTATTAATGGGAGTGAGGATTTCTGATCTGTTTAACGTTTGTCTCTTTGGTTCTTTTGATATTCCAGCATCAGACCATGCCAGCTGCAAGCCTCCCAACAGTTTCAGGCTTTTGCCTGAACCAAACCAGCACAGCACCTCACTACTAAAAAAGGAGCAAAAAAAAAAAAAAATAATCTCACAGCGTTGCCACCCTCTGGTTTCTGCCCAGGTCCCCAGAACAGGTTAGTACCTGCTTGTGTAACCGGAGCAGATGGTGGAGCCGAAGCTGGTGCTGCTGTGGGGGCTTGAGGCGGGGGTGTTGATTTCACCTCATTCTCTAGTGGTGGTATTTGTATTTGCTGCTGCTGCTGCTGCGTTAAACTGTTTACGAACTCTTCATGTTGAGTTTTCAGGTTCTGTATCTGCTGTTGGAAGGCTACCTGTACAGGCTGTACTACCGTTGCGTATTCAGTAATCAAATTTGCCTGATAAAATGAGATAAATTAAGAAGAACAAGTTAACACTGTACCTAAAACAGTCATCCTATCTGTTTATTCAGAATCTCCTGTATTCTCTCCACCCTCTCCCAAGAAACGCATGAGAATCCAGGATAACCTGCTGGCAGGAGAGCCTAGTCACACCATGAAGCTCTGTAAAGATTTCCAAAATATCCTCTGCAGCCTAGAATCCACTGTCTATACTTTGAAATACAGCTAAAATCAACAGCATTCATTATTAATGCTAAAAATTAATAGTCCCTGCTGCCATAATTTTTATCCTTATCGTATACAATTTAAAGCTATGGTTTCTTCAGTTTCCTTTTTACCAAACATTCATTTCCACAAAGAGAGAACACACTGTCAAATATGTTCATGACTGTAGTAGTTACAATGCAAACCAACTTTCTGGTAGCCAGATTATTGAATGCTTGAAATAACAAGGTTATGTTTTACATTATTTTTGTAATCCCTTGTAAACGATGCCGGGGGCTGGGGGGAGTGGGGGGAGGGAAAGGGGAGATGAATATTTACCTTTCAAAAAAGGAAAATATTTCCTAAATGTGTTTCCAAAATATTTACATCAATAAGAAAACTGTTACTTTTCTTTTGTGGCTAACCTGGTACTGGCCAAGTCCAAGAGCCGGGCTCTGTAACTGCTGAATAATTGACTCATCAAAGTACCCATTTTTCTCCCATAGTTGAAGAAGCTGCAGAAATGCAAGAGTGAAAGGTTTTCAGAAATTAAGAACAATAAAAGAAAAATTGAGGCACAGCATTTTTATGTTTCTAGCTTTGTCAAAAGGCCTAGGAATTCGGGACTTGTCTCTGAACCACTGAAGATTCAGACAAATTCATGACTATGATAAAAGTACCTATGCTTTATTTAACAGTTCTAGTCTAAACATGAATTATAGCACATCCTGTAGTAGACTTGATGAAGACAATCACACCAGAAAAATCTCAGTGGTCCTCTTCCATCTTCGTATTTGTGCATTTGCCTAGCACTAACCTAAGGAAGCAGAGCTCACAGTTAAACCAAACCCAGATACTCACCCTGGCAATTTTCTGTTGCTTATCCTCCTCCACTGCTAGAAAACTGGTACAATAAATGGGCACAACAACCTTCTGTAAAGCAGCCAGAAGGTCTCGTGCTTGCTTCCGCTGGCTTCAAAAAGGAATGGAAAGAAGAGTTACTGCCTTTCGCTGTAACACGAAGTGCATTGTAATACTCAATTCATCCCAACTTCTGCTATACTAAAAGTAGTGAATTTATAAAATAGAGAGTTCCCTCCTTTACTTTTTTACTGTAAAGTCTTGTCTGGAGGAAAAATATAAACATGGGAAAAGCTGAATTTAATTATTAAAGTACTACATCTTTGTGCCAGCTATGGACACCTTAAGACAGCTGCTAAAAATAACGAGCACATTAAAAATAAAAAGGGACTAGTCAAACTAACAATGCCTCTAGCAGAGAGAGACTTTACCAAATTAATCAAAATATCAAACTGAAAACCACAATTTAATTCTCACCAGTGATGCAGTACATCATTGATTAAGTAGATGAGATGTAACCGAAGCTCGAAGTGAGCTCCTTCCGCCGTTATACGATTTCGCAGGTGCCCAGCCATCAGCTCACAGTGTGCAGGAGATTTTGCATTACTAAACATCCAGTTCTTGCCAGCCTTAGAAAAGCACATTTAAAATATTTTCAGTTAGTCTAACGTGTTCACGTCATATGGACTTCCTGGACCTCTGAAATAACTGCAAGAAGGGAACTTTTCAAATCACAGCTATCATCTTACCTACCACACAGCACAACCACCAAGCTGCTGTTTACCACACAATCTCAAAATTCAAATTCTGCTTAATCCACACCACCACCAAATAACTGTTCAGGTTTAGATCACTTACTGAGATTGCGTCTTTCGTACAAGTGTCAATTATTGGCTGCAACAAGTTGTCAAATTCATTCATATCTAGCTGGGTTTCCTCCAAAACTTTCTGCATTTGTTGCTCAATTGCAAGGGCTACTGCTGATGTGACTTGTTCCTGAAAAAAAGAAGAAAAAAAATAATAAAAAATAATTATATTACATCCAATGTTCTTCTGAAGAGCTAAGCTGCTGTATCCCTGTCCTTTTAACCTAAGTAGTTCTCTTGAGGACCAAGACCTTTTACAAGCAACATGACCACATATAAATGTTTCAGTTACTTGTTTCTGCAAAGAAAAGACTCTTCTCATTCTTCAGGAAAAGTCCAGTTCATTTCCACCTCTAAAATCTCTCCATCGTGAAAAAAAATTATTTCAGGAAGCTCCTAAATGTACAGAACCTAATCCAGGCATGCTGCCTTCCTCCAGGAACTCTTCAGTTTCGTTCCCAGTACCTTTAACAGCAAAACATCGCCTGCAAAAACCAAGTTCAAAGCACGCAGTTCCCTTCCTCCCCTAATCAGAATCCACCTTAGAATATTACAAGCTGGAATGTCTTGCAGTTCCCAGCAACCTACAGCTATAGGCAAAGATTAAAGCAGTCACAGTTTATTCCACTCTGCAAACCAAAAAGGTTTTTCACATAGTAAACAAATGGTTTTAGTCAAAGATCAATCTTGCTAGAGGATCGGACACATCTGTTCTAAGGAGACGATGGCAGTTGCCACAGAACAAAAATAAGCAAAGTAATACTCCCTCTCCTCGCCAACACACGATGCCACCACCACGAATCAGAAGGAAACCTTCCTCTCCCCCTTCACTTCTGATTTTTACAGCCACTGGCAGTCTAGGATAAACCAGTTGAGTGCTAATCTTAAACCAACCTGTCTCATAGCAAGGAGATGCTGCTCCTGCTGCTGAAGGTTCCACTGACTCTGCTGGATAAGTTCCTCCACGGAAGGAGTGCCCTGAGGAGCTGGGATAGGCGCAGCCGGTGGGAGAGACGGTTGTGGCAGTGGCTGGATCTGTGCGGTAGCCTCGATATCTTGACTTTGCTTGCACAACACTATCGGACAAAGTAAACTTTTAAAGTAAGCCTCAAAGAAATCTGCTACCACCAGCCCACATGTGAAAACCACGCTGGTTCCGAAAGAGACCTTCACTCTTCACACAACTGCCTCACACAAAATGAAAATTGAGGAGTCAAGGGCGGATGGCACGAAAGGGGAGCATCAGCAACTCCCTGCACGCTTCGAGAGGCATGACTCCAACACAAGGCCAGCCCCTGGCGCTGCTGCGCGGGCCTGCCCTATTCCTGAAGGGCCCTCCAGGTGTTGAACTCCATCGCACCGCACAGCCGGTACCGGTACCTGCCGGTACCTGCGGTGCAGCCCAGCCTACCTCCAACCCAGGCACGGGAGGGGGGGGCGTGAAGAGCCGCGGGCGGGGCTCAGCCAACTACCTGGAGCTTAGAGGACAGGAAGAGGCTGCAAACCAGTCCTGGCGGGTCAGGGCGAGGCCAGGAGGGAGAAAAGTG